AGAAATCAAAAATTACCTGTTGAAAGAGATCCATGGGACCCTGGATCCTGCTGGACAGCTGCCGAGCCCACATAATACGGCCTGCCACTATGGGCATGTCTCGGCCAATGGGGGGGTCTAGTTTCTGCTTCATGTAGATACGGGAGACCATTTCAATGTCCCGGCCATAGTTCTGCAGAATGCGCTGATACTTCTCTTCAATGCCGAGGTCTGGGATGCCCAGTCTGTTTTATGTGAGTCCAAAATTAGTTGCAGTTCATCAAAATCCAAAAATAGAGAACCAATGTTAGAAGAATTCAATAAATAAGACGTGAACTAAATAATCTGTAATCAGGTATTAGTTTCCGTCTATTACAGTCACTTGGAAAGACCATGGCAAGGCATACTGACTGGTCATAGCAGGAAACACGAATATCAAAACACTTTGGAACCATTCCATTTAGATGTGCCAATAAAATCATTTCAGTGAGCCAATATGCATAAAAAATGACCCTGGAACTGGCAATCAATCCTTCAACTGGCCTATTGGATTTCATCAGGTTTTAGTTACACCTGTGTTTAAATGTCCACAGTGAGAAACTCTGTCCTGCTCTCTTTTATTAAAGCCAATTGATTAGCAGTGTTAGGCAGTAACTCATTACTAGTAATAATATTACTTTCTCCAGTAACTAGTAGTGTAATTTAATATTACAGTTACCATCCCAAAAAATAATAAGTTACAATATTACGTTTGTGGCACCCCCTACTGATCTGTAATCCAATCCAACCACATCCTTGGATTCATTTTTGTAATCATGGAGGAAACTAGTGAGAGATAGAAATGCTTATATTTATCAGCTGGAAATATTCCCATTACTTAAATTTTAACAAACAAAACTGTATTATAATCGGTCATAATCTGAGTTTTGGGTAGAAGAGACACAAATACCATTTTTTTTTTTTTTAAGTATTACATATTAGCTAGTTCTGCTAGCTTGCTTAGATTAATATGCATGTAATGACAACAAATATTAAAGAATGGGTTACCTTTCAAATTTCTTCAGCACGTTTAGAGCTCTCTCTGTGTTCTGAATTTTTTCAAAGGTGCTATCCATGAAACTTTTCAGCTGGTTCTGGAAGACCAAGGACAAAAAAAATGTGCTTCCAAAAGAGACAGTGGAGTGTACAAAACCCCACAGAATGGCTCATACCTACTAACGAGATAAGCCACAGGTGTTTTCACTTATTGCTTGATTAAGCCTTTCCTAAGCTTGTGTGTGTAATATTCAACTTACATGAAGCTCTGAAGTGCTTTGGCAGAATTCCTCATAGTCAACATCAAAGTCCGTTCTTCTCTGGTCTAGGAAACTGTAATGTTTTTTCTTCATGTTTAGCACAATACCCTATCACACAAACAGAGAGGGGTACATGCACACACACACAGGTTTTATTTTTAAACATTTATCTATTCCTAATTAGAAGTTTTAAAGCCTCTCAAAAATCCGAAATCTCATTTCTTTGACCAGCTGTGTGTCAGGGCTTCAAGATGACACCACACTGATGATTAAGAGCATATCATCTTAGTGTGAGAATGAATCTGGGTTTTAAAATAGCCAAGGACAAACAGAATGGATATTAATACTGGAAATGTAACACTAAATCGTAAAGCTTACCATAAATTATGCATATACTGCAGAATTAACTGTCATCTTCTACAAAAGGAGAGATCTGCAATCTATTCTAATCCAGCTCTGTCTGGTTATTTGGGTCATGAAAGGAATGATGGAGCAGCAGGTAAACTAAACAGCATGGAAAACATTTGCTAGTAAATCGCTGGAGAAAATAACTAAGCAACACAAATATAGAGCAGTAATAACAACATATTTTGGAGTTGGTTGTCTGTTCACGTTCCATGCAGTTAGTATTGTCACATAGTTAAGTCATATGTACAGAGATAAAATTTCAAGCCTATGAATTTTACCACTGCATGCTGTAAACTATGAAAATGGGCCATGCATTACTACAAGTTGAAGACTGTAGTGATACATTACCTCCCATTTTCCCTGCATTTCTGCAGTCTGTACATCCAAGGAAGCAGAAACAAACAGATAGCTCACATCAATGTACTCTCAAGGGAAAACACTAAAACACCAATTAGACAATGCGATGCAATTCAAAAATTTCTAGTGTTATTTCCTATGACACAAAAACAGTACAATCTGAGTTTGTAAACTATTTCTGACAACAATGAAAAAACAAGGAAAAAGACAGTAATCAGGCACTGTCACACTACTAAGTACAACCTGAAACTCTTTGTTAACCAAATCAAACTCACTTTGGGACACATTCTGTACTAACCTGGGCTGCACTATCATTTCCACAATGAATTTCTCTTTCTCTTCAATAATTATCTCTACATGTTTCTTCCTAGTCATCCATATCTCCCCTTTACTTCACCCACTCTGTCAGTGTCAGTGGCACAGGGCCCATTCCACACCTAACCACCAACCAACACACTCTGCTGACTAACAGCAGGGGCTGTCACAGTCAGTCAAGACCTATTTCACATTAACTTTCAAATGTTTATTTTTTTAAAATTCACTTTGTAGTTTTTTCCCCCTTGAATAAAATAAATCCTCAATGTATATCTACAGCTTACCAACACTTCACACATTCCATGTATGTAGTAGTTATGCAATAGATGTTCTTCATTGCTGTAGCCTTCTGTAGCAGCCTTACATTTGAAATCTACAAACATATTCCAAAACCAATGAATGGCAGAAGAAATACAGACATAGATGGCTAGCAGTGACATTTTACCAGTTAACAGAATGCCTCTCTGTGTCATCATAAATGTCTTGAGAACAATCTGATCTAATATGCCCACCTGAAACCTGGTGGCCATGGTCTCCAGTCCTTCTATCTTAGAGTCCTGCAGGGCAGAATAGGTGGAAATGGTGCTGAACATCTCCAGGATCTTGTTGAGTCGTCGTTGGAATGTGTCGAACTTCCCAAAAATGTACATCTCACTGAAGTCAAACTGTCTCTCTGAGGGAGTCTGTTCCAGCTTCTCCTTGGTTTTGTGGAAGTACTGCTGATACTCCTGGAGGACAGAATTTGACTCGTAAAAAAAACGATCACTTTCATTTTCATCCATCCATCGTATAAAGGTGGTAACAACTGCTGTTGAAAAGTAACTTTGCCACACTTATATTGTATATCATGGCAATGGCATTGTCTTCACCTACAGTAGTACTGTATCCTTATGTCCTCAACAAAACATATAATGGTGACACATTCTAACAACTTTTCCCCCCAAACAATACACACCCATGTTTAGTTCATAATGACTGATATAATTAATAGTTTTTTAAATGAATGTAGCTACACCGTGCTGCAAAAAAATCACATTTGATAAGAATGTAAACACAGAAAAACTAGGAGAGATAAATGATTTACATTATAAATGGCATATTCTGCCAATAAGCAGTATGCAGTACCTGGTTTAGGTGGATAGAGGCTTTGATTTTGTCTGTCACAACTTGCTGAGGCTGGTCCCATATTGAATTAGATCCATTATTAGTGATGTAGGCTTTGCAGGCTGTGATCATCTGGTTTGTCACCTGGAGATATTGATGGGTATGGTGAAATGAAAATATGTATTTTAATTCTTTGTGAAGCCATTTTAACCATACATGTATGTAAAGTAGCTAAACATAAGTGATGAGCAAGGGTGTTTGAGAGCTGTAATATGATCCATGAATCATTCTGATGTTTATATTCTGCTCATATCTATTCCATCATATATTGGGGCAGTAATTTGTTGGGGTGTTAGAAATTACAATCCTTTTGTGTATCACTGTATTCATCCACAAAAACCTAAAAATTACAGATTGCAGGGTTTCAAAGAAGACAATATCCAAACCGTAGGCAAACAGCTTTGCCGAATCCTATTGTTGATTCATCAACATTCATCATTGTTGCATTGTGTGGAATAGCAGCCAATCCTACCTTTACAAAAAGCGATGTAATTTTTTCTGATGTGTTGTAGTAGCGAGAAATACTGTGAATCATCCTGATGGCATTAATAAGACCTGGGATTGCATCCACCATCGAAACCTGGAGTGAAACAGAAATTATAGCTTTATACAGGTTACATGCACTAGCACATGTGGGACACTGAACAGTATTTGTTTAACACACTATTTTCACAACTTAAGGACAGTTCAACATGCATACAATACATTTAGTTTGCTTTTAATGTCTCTTAATCTTTAAAGAGATTAAAGTATTTTTCTTACAGGGTCACTATTGTAGAGAGGGTCACAAAACTTCTCCAGACTGTAGAGGTACTTGACGTTATCTTTGGCCTCGTTGGCTGCATCTGTAATCCTGGTGTCCAGTTCCCGCCATGACTAGACAGAACAAACCGGTATTGCATTTAAGGTAAGACTGTGTCACACTATCATCAGTCTTTACAATTTAACATGAAAGACTTTTGTCAAAATCATCTTGGAGAAAAAGGGACAAGCATGTAACACTGATATGATGGGCAGAAGAGATTGGCAAAATCAAAATAGATCTTATGAAGCAGCAAAAAAGTATTTTCTGACCTTTATGAGTTTAGATTTCGCCATCAAAAGCACACCCAGTACAGCTTTGACATCAGGGCTCTTAAGCTGATCCAAAAGGTAGTTGAAGCGGGACATTCGTTTCTTCCAGTGGTCCAACTCAGCCCGAGGGCCAAGGTCATCAGCCTCCTTTCTTAGCTGGTCACTCTCAGCTAGAACCTGGAGAACAGAGGTAATTTACTACTCACTGATTTCTGGGGTTTATCTGATTCTTTCCAGTTGTTTATTTTATTGTGGTAGTTTTGCATCCCTCCCCAACGAACCTTGAATTCATTTATATCGTTAAATGTTTGAGTTGTGAGAAAACATGAAATATGTCAAAATTAACATAAATCTCATTGAAAACATGACATTTTTGAATATTGTGTGCTGACAATATATGTAATTCAGCCATACGAGTAACTGTATGATAGAAAAATATACTTTACAGCTGCCCTGACAAATAGCTTTTCTACTTTTTAGGATAAACATGCATTTTAAACATTTGTTGCTCAGCTCCATGAAATATATAGCACAAAACATTTGTCTGTTCAGCTTCACCGCATACAGGGCACATTCAAAGCAAACTTGGATCTGAGAATTAATTCTGTTTTAAATTTGGCAACAACTACTCAGCACAACCCAGAGGAGTACAACATTACAGGTTTGAGGCAAAATAATAACTGTAATAGGTCAGAGGATGATTTCTTACCTGTTACCTAACATGTCTCACCTGTTCTATCTGTTTGATCCAGACTTTCATGCAGGCTTCCACCTTTTCTGTGGTTTCTGTGCTGTTGGCTGCTGCCATGTAGTCTGATGGGCCTTTCAGCACCCGCAGGTCAAATGTGTCACACTCCTTTAAGGTAACCTGGAGGCAAGCCATGACATGGGTTATTTTTTGCTGGGGTATCTATAATTTATTTTGTTTGTGGATATGCCTATGTGTGCTCACTGAAGAAGAGGCTGTGGTCAAAACAGTTATTTTTGAGTTGCAAGACTTCTTAGGTTGTTGGTGGTTGTAAGTGTCTTGCTGCTTTAATGAAACACCCAACTGTAATGAAGAAGGTTCATAGTAGTTCAAACAACCTTTATTTGTCTTTATTAATCCAATTCATTATGTATGTTTCTGTTTTTTTAAGCAAGTAAGCAAGTCCTGCAAGGGTGTGACATCTGGTTAGTGCACAAATATCTTAATTAGTTTTGGTTAAAGAACAAAAGCTGCTCTGAATTAAACTCACTCATTAAAATCCACATGAAACCAAAATCAGAATGCTATTTATTCCATGTATTTAAGTAATTTCTGTAAAAAAAAAAAAACAGGCTGCTAGGGAGGGACTTCCCAGTAGCCAATTGCGCTGACCCCCAATCAAGCGTCTGTAGCGGTCCCATTAGCTGACTCTGCCGGGACTGGGAGCTACCAGTGAACAGCACGGCAAGACCGAGATCTGATGCCAACGGAGTACAAGAACTTTGTACAAGTGATAAAGTTGTGTTTTTGTACAGTAATCAGTGAGACGGGTCCCAGAAACACTCCGTTACAGTTGCTAGGGAGCTAGCTAACTAATCGATCTTCGCTCTGTGATTGACAGGTGAATGTCATGGTATTATTGGTTGAAATAGGTTAGTTCATGCTTACGTAAGCACATGTCACATTTTGTTTTACAGGAAGACAAAATGATCAGATTTTGATTTTAAAAAATTGTGTGCTGGGCAACGGTTAAAATTTTTAATCGCGATTAATTGCATGATGGGTTATGCAAAATTCAATAATGAATTTAAAAGTGACATTTGGTTTGCACTTATACACAACTTTATACTTTACAAATAAGTTGCTTTTTAACAGCAGTATTCCCCACACAGTAGCAGTTCAAATAATTCTTGCACTAGCTGTGCTAAGTGTGCTGACTTTATTTGAAACATTCCACTGCTGTGGAACATGCAGTGCCGGCCGTGGCATAGGCAGTATAGGCAAA